TGGGGGGGAGTGGACAGCCAGGCCGCAGTGGCCACGACCCTAAGACAACCCCTTAATGAAACAGACCACTCGGAGGCCGCCTTCCAGGAATAACCACTTTAGTGGGGCAACCACGTTGCTATGGCAACCACGGAGCGTCAGGGGCGGAGCCAGGACGCCCTCTTAGACGGGCTCCCATCGGTGGGGACCGGGCGGGCCGCTGCTGCGGGAAAAGTCGGGGAGGAGCCCAAGGCCAGGCCCGGAAGGCTCCCTGGTGGTGGGGCCGCGGGGGAAATGGGGCGCTAGGTCTCCGGGGGACGGCCCCCAAGGAGCCGGACACGGTGCAAGGATGCGCGGGAGACCACGCTGAGCATGTGGAGTCGGGGACGATGGCCAGACTGCTCCTGACCAACGGGTTGTTGGTTCTGAAGTGGCCGATCCTTATTCATTTTAATCATCCATTTGTCCGGCCCCAAGTGGGGAAGTTCGATCTCTGGTCCTCTGGGGACGCCACAGCGTGTGGGGGACTCGGGGTCCCCGCGGTAGGAGGCCTGTGGGTTCAGCCTGGCTCCCGGGGCTCGCAGCTGCGGACAGAGTCTGTCTGGCCGCGGCTGCAGATGTAGCTGCATTTGGGGGGGCGGGAGGGGACCCTATACTTACTGGGGAGGCGGGGAGCAGGGTCTCCAGAGGAAGGGGCCCCACGGGCTCCAGTGGCCCCACCTTCAAGGAGGGGCGCCCTCCCCTCCCCAGGCCCACGGGGGCCTGGGCGTCGGGCCTGGCTGGCCGCACCCTTCAGGTCCGGGCATTCCCTCGCCATTTGCCCCTACGGAGAGAGGCTGGAAGGGGAGACGCCCAGTTAGGGGACTGCAGCCACCTTAGCTGGCCCCCCACGGCCATGACCCCCGCCCGGCTGAGTCCCTGCTGTCCTTCATCACGGACGTCACACCCTCTCAGGACTCGGAGTCCAGCCCTGTCACTGCCACGGTCAGACCCAGGCATCCGGGCCCCCAAACCCCTCCTCCCTCAGACCCAGGAGTCCAGACCCCCAGCCCCTCCTCCCTCGGACCCAGGAGTCTAGCCCATTTTCCACCCCACCCTCCGCCCTCCTCGAAGCCCCATCCCTCCCCTCCTCCCTTTCGCTCAGATACTCCTCCTCCTCTTCATCTTCCTCTCCATCCTCCTCCTCGTCCCCATCCTCCTCCGGGCTACTGGGGGCCGAGTGGAAGCGCAGGCAGTAGAGCAGCCGCACCCACTGGCCGAACTCGCAGTCGCAGGTCCTGGGCGGACTCCGCAGCTGCAGGTAGAAGGTGCGGCCGGTTTGAAACTTGACCTTGAGCTGCCTGCGGCTTTTGTCGTGGACGAAGAGCTGGACGAACTGCAAGGGGATCATCCTGGCGGGCGGAAGGGGCGTCTCAGGTCCCGCCTTCCCAGCTCCCCCCCACACCCCCACACCCCC